TAATAATAATTATTATTTATGATAATCAGTAATATGTGTTCAGTAAACCAGAAGGTCATTTGCACATTAAGGATGTATCCAGGGTAAAGTTTAACCACCTCACATGTCTTTACTCCATAACATCAAGCTTTCTGACGCTGAGAGGGCGTGTTCTGAGGTTTTGTTAAAACCAAATCTCTGCAGCTGTAGTTCAGTTCTTGAACCCACCAGAAGACGAGGGCTGACCGCCCAAGTCTCTGCTAAGCATTCTGTCACGCCGATAAACGCGAATAAATGCACCTGTAACCAGCTGATGCAAAAACTCCTTCAGAGTTAAGCCAGACGTAAGCTCAACACTGTGTACCCTGCGACAACTCTGGACCAGAGAGTCGGTTTCACTCGGGTCTTCTCTAACTGACCGAGTACCCTGAGGCTGACAACATCCTCCTTTGACCTCCGGATCCACACAGAAGGTTGTCTGATGGGTGAGGTAGCACACAGATTATGTCCGATGCTGTTATCTCTAAGAAACGACTGAGTTAGCTGCAAAACAACGTTTTCCACCCAGAACGCGCTTCTCTCTCTGAAAGAAACCTTCTGAGATTCATTCACGCATCCAAACCTTGCATTCCACCTTAGTTTTCCATCCAGACACAGGTTTGTTTAATTACAAGTTTTAATATCAAGCTGTTTCAAATTGTCAGTTACAAATTGTCATTTCAAATAGTCATTTTTAAAAAGTGTTAGTAATAAATTCTTAACTTTTAAAAACCTGACTCTTCTTTCAAATGAAACACAGAAGGGTGTATATTTTGGTTATTGAATAAGCAAAGATTCCTTTAACTACTGATTCAATAAATAAACTTTTGCTATAAAATTTAATTATCTTAAATTAAACATTCATCTTTGGATTAAAATATAGACCAAGACAGTTAGTGTATGAACTTCTATCGATTGCATTAATATCCTAGATAGTTGTACATAATATAAGTTCATATGCTAATATCCGATCTTTTCTCAGGATCTAATCAAACTGAAGCAAACAGTATCAAATCAAGTGAGCTGAATCCTGTTAGGAAACAAATACGAAACCAGCTGGAAAACAGGCTATGGTACAAAATATAAAACAAGACCAACAGCTTAAAAAGCTAAATAAAATGTACCTAACATAGATAATAAAGTTACAAAAATACAAATATAATAAAAACGAGACACAAAACTTCAGCATTACAGATTCATCTGTTAGTTTGGTGCTGCTGTCAAGAGTATATTTTTCTGTGCGTGTACATACATGTGTTTGTGTGTGTGCATGCATGCGTGTGTGTGTGTGTGTGTGTGTGTGTGTGTGTGTGTGTGTGTGTGTGTGTGTGTGTGTGTGTGTGTGTGTGTGTGTGTGTGTGTGTGTGTGTGTGTGTGTGTGTGTGTGTGTGTGTGTGTGTGTGTGTTGGCATAACCAACCACACTATGGTCAATCTCAGCAACAACCACAAGCTGTTGAGCGACTGAACTCTTTAATGCCTCATAGATGAACAGAAAACTGCAGCAGTTAGTCTCCTCAGCTCCTGAACAACAGAACAGCTGAACTACAAGAAACACAACATCTGTCCAAAGATTGGACCATATTTCCTTATTACATTAAAGTCTTTATTTTATGATTCTGAAGTCCTAGAAACGAGTTGTGAGTAAAAAATCATATGCGCTTTCTTTATGTTTGTGCTGTTTCATATGGGAGCTGGTAGGAATTAGTTTACAAAGTTAATTTCAAACCTGGTGAAACATGAACTCATCAGTGGCTGGTATCGCTGCACTTCTGTGTTATTCATTTATGTCTCATCAAGCCAGTTTCCCAGAAGACCTGGTGGCATGATAATTTTGCATTTGATTCAGTTTTGCTTGGCAGAACAGAGCTCACAGACGAAATCTCCTTAAGAACCAGAAAGGCTGTCAGTAATGAGTGGAATTGCTTTGATCCATTGACAAATGGGTCATTTAGACAGTGTCTGCTTTCTGAATCTGGATGATACAGTCATGACTCTCTCTGTCTCTGCCTCTCAGTCTCAACCTCCTTTAGCTAAATGCTTCTTGTCCAATTCCAAATGCATACTGACTCAAGTATGCACAAACTGTCAAGATGATAGGAGGAAAAAATTAGAAAGAAAGAAGAAAGTTCAAGAACTAAAAGTGTTATCCTGTTTAATATTACTGGCATGTTTGAAAGGGAAATTCTGTGGCATTTATTTTGCTTCAGCAACATAATGTCTAAGACAGAAAAGAAGGACGTTGTCATCTCCTTTTTAAAAGACAATAAGAAGCTCTTTGTGTTGATTTGATGCTGGAGTTTTTTCATCGCTCTAATTTTTGAAGTGAAAATTGCAAAATGACAATGAGAATGTCTTGCAGTTTAAGTATCGTCCTGCCTCCTGGGATACTCAGTGGTTAGAGGGGTGGATTTACATGCATCTAAAGCATGCTGATTCATTCTCAGCTTCCATTACTGGATGCCTTAAAGCGTGTAAGATTCATTTTATTCACTAGACATTGTGGCAGAAAGACTGTCATCAGTTTGCTCGCTATGGATTTTGGACTGTCCAAGAAGGTCTGGCGGAAGATTTGCAGGTCATATTTGAGGAACGAAGAAAATGCCGTTGTTTTAGTGTTTGCATGCTTCTGTTTTTTTTTTTTTTGTTGTTGTTTGTTTTTGGGGTTTTTTTGTGTGTTTTTTTTAGCAGAACAAATCAAGGACAAGAATTCTGGCTCCTTTTTCAGCAGTCCTAAAAGTGTTCAAATGAACAATGTGGGAGGGAGAGCTAATTGGCTAAAATGACTGTGGAAGCATGTAGCTGGATCCCCCACACCCTCTCCACCCAAAGCAGGATGACTTGGAAATGGATGGGAAATCAGAGGGAAAGGAGGGAGGGGGCAGGGAGAACCCAAATGGAATTATGAATAGCTATCGTTTCCTAACTGGTGAGGTTTTACACACCACTGCCAAGGCCAACTGACTGAAGTAATTTCATTTTTTATGCATGGGTTTGGTCCCCGCAGAGACCTGAAGCTCACAGAGGGAGTGATCAGAGAGGACAGCAGAGGGGAGAGATGAGGGGAGGAGCAGAGATTTGCTAAAGGAGGGGTGGCGGGGAAGGGGGAGACAAGAAGAGGGGGTGCAACTCTACTTTCCAGTGTAGTGCAGCATAGAGAGAGTTCAACAAAGCTGCTAGCTGGAAATTAGCTTGTTTATTGTATTTAACGGGATTGACGCATTTTGAAGTAATAGCAGTCGATGCTTACAGCTCATTAATTATCAGAACTGTCAGCAGCAATTCACTGAGATATGTGCAGAGCCTCATGACGTCCTCCTCCCCCATATTCCCCAAAGAAAGCACACATGCATACATGCACAAATGGAGCATCAGCTGCTGTGACAGCTCCTCTTGAAGTCACGAAAGGGAGGTGTTTAAAACTTTGCACAACTGTCTGATTGCAGCGACGCACTTCAATTCTGCCACAGAAACTGAGAGCTAACGCTAATTTTTAATGCCGTAGAATGGGACTGGACGAGAAGCAGCACTTTAATAATGGTGACAGGCTTTTATTTCAACAGCCAGAAGAGTCCAGATGACACCTGCCTAATGCCGTGTGCCCTTCCCTCGTCCTTGTTAGTTGCCTCCACTATTTTCTCAGTAGGGACAGAATTCCTGGTGTGTCAAATGTACAACTAAATTGGTTTCTGGAGTGTTGAAAGATGGAGACAGCTTTGGACAGTCTTACTCCTCCGGTGCACTCAGCTCATTGATTAGAAGAAAAAACCTCGGCCATTTCCGTGTGTGTTTGAACAGTATGTGCCTGCATGCCAGAGTTAAGTGTGTGATTGAGTCATTTTGACACACAAACTGATTTCACAAGTTGTCATGTAGTTAATGGACAGAAATGGGATGCTTAGAGGTTGGGACTCTATTTAGGCACTAAATTGAATAACTCATCCAAAATGAGTCCCAATTACTCAGCACTTCAGTCCAAATCACAGGGCATCACAGTGCGCTTAATGCACCTATTAGCTGCCTATCTGGCCTGGAGCGCTGAACCAAAATGCCGGCCGGTTTTTAGAAAAGAACATCCTGTTTCATGTGTCCTAGGTCTTCAAATGATTTTCTTCCTGTGTGCACCCTCTGACTTCTGGGTTATCTTACCCTTGTTATGCAGCCTTTTCTATAATTACACATGCTACAAGCTCAAACTGTCATTTTCCTACTTTGCCATTTTTGCTAACTCTGTAATTCAAGTTAGGCTCCCTTAATGCTTAAGTCCAGATGTTCCTGACCGTCAGAAACAAAATATACTGTTTGCACACACACACACACAAACACACACCTTACCCGTGTTTATTTAAAATTGGGCTGTTATTATGTTATTCCTCCTGTTTTGCATGATAAATCATGAGTAAGCAATGAAATTATTAAATGTGTGGTTGACTGAAAATATATTTCTATTGATTATTTCTTATTATAATCGGTCACTTAGCGTTTGTCATGCAGGCTGAACATGAAAATAGTCTCCCGTGCATTAGCTCCTGATAGGAAGTAGACGGTAAAATGCTAGATTAGAAAATCCTCGCATATGTATGTCACACTGTGAATTTGCATTCCTGGCCTTGCCTATCTTGGCTCGCACCCTCCCACAGGAGGAGCAAGGAGAGTGAGAGAGGAGAATGTGTTGGTGATAGTGACTTTGCAACAAAGCTGAACACGTTCTGTTAGCCAATCAGAAGCAAGGTGTGTGTATACCATTAACAATAAGGAGTAATCCTGCTGTTTTCAGTCCACCTCTGCACCAGCAAACTTCTGCATCTCAGAACAGGAGCTTAATAATAGCTTTTTAATTATTTTATGACTCATAAGGCATTGATTTACACTGCAAATGTACTGAATAAACGTGTGAACCACATCTTTAAAATGTGTGGAGAAATAAAGAGAATCAAAAAAACTGTTCCAGTGATTTGATGTTTGCTCTTGTTTTGAATGCAGATTCGTTCAGACCAAGACAAGGACATCTCCGTCCGATACAGCATCACTGGGGTTGGAGCTGATCAACCACCCAACGAGGTGTTCAGCATCGACCCCGTGCTTGGAAAGATGTTTGTCACCAAACCTCTGGATCGTGAACATAGATCGTCCTACCATGTGAGTCTGTCACTTTAAACTCTGTTGAACTATCCAGGTTACCCCTCTGAACCCACAGGTAAGTCAGCACATCTGACTGGAGTGAAAAATTTATCAAATGACCATTTTACTGTAGTTTATTGCTTTTACTTAAAGCAATTTTGGGTGATTTTATTTTTTTTACAAAGAAAAAAAAACTATAGCAACAACATAAACTTCTCAGTGCAGGTAAACGTTCTAACGTGTTATGTCTAGCATTCTCTGTTTCTATTTGTACCATTATCTTTATTTTTTATTGTTTTTCGCTGCCAGAGTCCTGTCCTGATTAGTCTATCTTCCAGATTTAAAGAACTGCAAGCAGTGATTTGTTAGAAAGGTGTGGTTTTCGATGAGTTTGTTGTGATGGAAACAAGTGTGGAACACAAAGGGAAAATTGTCTTAAGAAAATTTGTCTCCAGCAAACTACAGCCAAACAACGTTTCTCTTTTCTATCTTTTGCTTTTTTAACTCCATTTTTAATGCAAGGACAGAACAAATGAGCACCCTGCTATTCACAACCAGCCAAGAAACAAGACGCATTTTTCAAACGTAGAAAGAAAAGGAACATCTAAGTCTGCTGTTATCTACATAGTGGTGTTGCTTGGTATAGTCTATTTTTTCTTTCCTCTGCCTTTTGAGATAATAGCTTTCTTGTTGACTCAGGAAAAACATTTGGCCTTCCTTAAACATGCTGGTAATCTTTGACTCCTGTTGTTATTAAATGAGGGTGTGGGTTCATGAGGGATGGAGGACAACCGGAGGGTTAAGATGAAGGCTCTAGCTCCTTTAGTATGGATATTGAGTGCAGGAGAGATCAGACAATGCGGAGGAAAGAATAAAGTTAAATAATCACCTCAGGGTGTTGCAATGGCAACCTTTTGTGAGGAGAGGCAGAGTGGAGAGGGGAGGATGAGCACCAGTGGAGACCATCTTCAGCACTGATTTGAGGGTGTCACTTATTGTGCTCTGTTCCAAATCTAACCAGGAGGCTTTTTATATCCGTCTGGTGCATGTGGTTCTGCAGCAGCCAGGTGATATATCCAATTAGTGTTCAATTACAGTAATTAGAACATTTCTGGGAAAAGGCTGCCGAAGGAGCTACAATCTAGAATCCAACACTTATCTCTAGAGCTGCATTGTTCTGTTTTCATGTTCCACACAATAAAAAATGATCCATCATTTGTTGTGTAAACTGTATAAAAGGTATAAAGTGACCAAGGATAAGGAGAAATTTTATAGGTGCAGCCAGTAACTCATGGAAGTCGCCATGGTAACCATGCACCCATATGGGAACTGTCTGTAGAAAATTAGCCTCAAGCAATTAGTGTGGATAAAACTTGAGGTTGTCCCCAAAACGTTTTTTTTTATTAACCTTTTTTTAGGAGATCAAATTATCCTCACCTCTAGTTTTGAGGAAAAAAATATCAAGCTCTGTCAAAATTGTGATCACTTGGAGTTTAGCCAGCTCTAACGTTGGTGTGAGAGGTGAACCTATTGTAAAATCTAAAAAGTTGATCAGAAACCTTCAGTTGTGTGTAAACACAAAAATGATCAGAAGGCCAGTTTAGACACCTGGAATCTGTGGGAGCCAATTCCTGCCAGTGCCACTAAAACAACCTAAAGCAGAAATTTCAAACTATTTCTGATCGACTCAGAAGTTTCAGATTTTTTTATATTTTCTGTGGGGGAAATGAAAAGAGAATAACGAGCGGCTTTGATGCACATACATTGTCGTATTTACATATCCATACATGTTTTAAGTTTTCAACCTTGGTATCAAACTCTGAGGAGCCCTTGGCCTGACATTTATTGCAAAAATAGATTTTTTTTTTCATTATTAAATACATATTTACCAGTTATATGACCGGGATGTATATGGTAGTTTTGTGTTGTTTTCTTTTAAACTTTTATGATGTAGGTAAACATCCCCAGCGCTTCAAGCTGACAGAAATTCCACTGAATAAGTTATGTTGCGGGATCCAAACCTTTCCAAGCAAGGAGAAGTGAATCCAAGCACATTTGATTTTAAAACATTACTTTTCTTTAAGTTTGACCCTTATTTGTGGAAAGAATAAACCAAACCTCTGGTAGTTTTAAATGTTGTGGTTTTAAAAACTGTAAAGAAGCATTTAACACCTGAACTGACAAAAAAAATCTGAGTATGAACTATGTGAGTGATCCTAGCTGGTGATTTGATCGATGTGAGCACAGATGAGTCCAGTTTTAGATGGTTGGACCATGTTTGTGGAGTCAAAGGGAAGTGCAGTGCTTTCAGTGTTCTGTTTAAAACAAAATTAGACTCAATGCTGGTGAGGAATCCAACACAATTATCCTGAAATAGACACCTAACTATTTAACTGAGCGATGGTTAGGCTTAGGCCCTTCATTAAATAATACATTTTTGGTTTGCATAGCAATCAAAAACATCCAACTGTAAATTCAATTAAATTCAGTTTATTTATGTAATCCCACATCAGAAAGTAAACATTCCCATAGAGTTCACTTTGTTAAGCCAATCAGTAAAAAGTTTCCTATATAAGAAACCCAGCAGGTTACATCTAGTCACTGACTAGAGTCAGAATCTTTACAGCAATCCTCATACTAAGCAATCATGTAGCGACAGTAGAGATGAAAACTTCCATTTAACAGGAAGAAACCTCCAGAGGTTCCTGGCTCAGCCATCTGCCACAACTCTCTGGGGATTGAGACAGAGCACACACACACACACACACACACACACACACACACACACACACACACACACACACACACACACACACACACACACACACACACACACACACACACACACACACACACCTTTCTATCCTAGTGAGGACCCTCCATTAACTTCTATTCATTTTTGTGACTGTATTATGCCTAACCCATACCATAACCAATGCTGGTCTATTCCTATACCTAACCTTAACTAAATCTTAATTCAAACTATACCTCTAAAACCAACTGGTAAGCATCTAAAAAAGTGAGGACCACAAAAAATGTCCTCACTTTGAAAAGTGTCCTCACTCTGTTGGTTAAAACCTTATGATGGTCCTCAGTATGTAGTAAGTACAAGAACGCATACACACATGTACCAAATAGTGTTTCTATGGCTGCATACATGATCTGTCTGTCTGTCTGTCTGTGTGTGTGTGTGTGTGTGTGTGTGTGTGTGTGTGTGTGTGTGTGTGTGTGTGTGTGTGTGTGTGTGTGTGTGTGTGTGTGTGTGTGTGTGTGTGTGTGTGTGTGTGTGTGTTTCTTTGTTGTGTCAGTGGAGAATTCTGGAAATCTGCAGCCTGATGGAAGATGAATATTGAATTATACATCAAAAAATACATCAAGTAACATAACACTGATGTTAATATTTAACAAGCGGTTGTATAAATGTTACAAAAACCACCAAATTACAGCAACAGAGCAGTAAAAAGCACAGGGACCAGAGGTACTGCTGCTGGTGCCCCAAGTGCCACCTGATGTTGTCTTTCTCAACAAGTCAGAATTGTTGCCGAGCTACTTCATAATAACCAGGTGTTTCTCATATGAATACATCAAGTTGATGAAAATAGTAACTTAACAGCTGACATACAGTCAGAAAGGTGTGAAGGAGCTAGTAAATGACTTAAACGATGCCCAGTTGTTGAAAAATATTGGCAGTTTCTGATCGAGTCAGAAGTTTCAGATTTGGCGATGCCATATTGGATGTCGTGTTTCCTTCTACAGTAGTCTGTGAGGACAAAAGGCATTTAATGATTTGTAACAAATGGTTACAAAACTTTTCCCATTAATAAACATTGTTGTTTACACATTTACCTCTTCACTCTTTGCCAGTGATGAAAGGGAATCTCATGGTTTTGTTATTTTACTGGAGGTTGCACTCCCAGGGTTTTTTGACGATAATGGCCATCTGTTGGTAAGGTCTTTTTGAACACTAAAATAATGCTTGCTTGCAGTGATTTAGGTATGTACTACCCCTTATCGCCAGAGAAACTACACACGGTCACTTTAAACAAACCATTGATTTTGTTTACAGTATTTTGTGTTAAAATTTAGTTCCATCTATAGTTTAATGCATCTTCTGTTTGTTTTATATTATCTTTTTCTAGAGCAAACTTAAAAGAAAAATTACAAATGTGTTTGTACATGTGAAACACCAAGCTGTGCATTCTGAAAAAACAAGTATTTATTAGTAATAGGATTGGTAATTATGTATGAAAATAGACCATAGACGTTTTAAGAGCCATTTCAGCACAGTATTATCTCATCTTAGCTTACACTTGGTGCTCAGAATCCTCAGGAGCAGCTGATCTGCTGACCTGAGACCGGGAAGGGAATTTAAGGCTGTAGCGGCTCTGAGAGGTAGGATATGACGAGGCCATGGAGGGCTTTAAATGGAAATGATAGAACTTTTAGATGAATGAATAACCAGTGGAGTGAGGCTGAAATGGGGATAATGTGCTCATATTTACCTGTGCCAGGTGAAAGACATGCTGTAGCATTTTGCAACCCCAGAAGATGGGATGGGAAGAAGCTCTGACCACTATATAAAGTGTATTACAGTAATCCAGCCAAGTGGGGACAAAGGCATGGATTAGTATTCCAAAATGCTACTCGGACGCATTTTTAAGGTTTTATATACCAAGTTGGTTTTGCTGGAAAAAGTTGGATTTAATCACTAAGTGTTCAATTTAAGTTCAGTGTCCACTTTGACCCCCTGGTTTGTGATGACTTGCTTTGACTTGCACAATGAACAACCAGCATAGTCTCTGCACCTGTGTTTACTCCTTATGTTCTTGTTTGTTTGGGTAAAAATGGTTGTCCTATTAGGAGCCCGATCCAACTGTGCTCATAAACTAATTTTCTCTGTTTGTTTCTCCCAGCTGCGAGCTCATGCTGTGGACATGAATGGCAACCAGGTAGAGAATCCCATCGATCTGCACATCTTTGTCATTGACATGAATGACAACAGGCCCGAGTTCAAAAACCAGGTCTACAACGGGTCTGTGGATGAAGGCTCCAGACCAGGTAAACATTTATTGTTTATCAGAAGGACTAAACAATCGAAGGATGCTAAAATCAGAAAATCTGATAGTTACACGTTTAGGAACAGTCTGTAGGGTAAGAGAAAATTATGAATATATCTCTGCTGATTTATTTTCAGTTAGTCATTACAGCAATGGCTACCAACCAAAGATGGTCCTCATGCTAGGAATGAGACTAAGGATTAAATGGACCACAGTGTAGCCCCACTGGGTCATTTTATATGAAACCTTAAAGTGGAAGAATTAAAGATGAGCTCAGTGTGTAAGACTCTGTGAGAGTGAGCCTGGTGAGCCAGTGTTTATAGCACCACAGGTGATCTCAGGTACGCTTTCTTCTTTTGCTGCGGTACCCCCAACCATCAGCCCTGTCCCACAGATGAGACTTTGTGGCACGCATGACATTAAGCTGAACAATAATCATAAGAAAAGATACTTTTTAGAGTTTAGAGCTTCAGTGATTTCAAAGGAAGGCCAATTACAGACTTGAATTAGTTTGCAAATTAAAGAGTCATTATGGGGACGTAATCCTATCAGGCACAGCTTAGGATGCCTGCACAAAGGGTCCACATTAAACCCCCTATGAGTGGAGCTTAATGAAATTACCCCAGTGATGTGTGACACATTGTGATTTTCATCTCCTTCTTTGTATCGTTTGCCCTTACGAGGAGAGAAAACAGTACAGAGCGACGAACTGATCGTCTCCATTTGGAATCAAACCAAACAGTGTGTCCTCTCCACTCTCCTTTGCTCTTCTTCCCTCTGCTCATAACAGGATTTTTTATTAGGCCCGAGCAGCGAAGCTGCAAAGGCCTGTTGGATCTGCTCTGTTTTTTTTTTTTTTTTTTTTGTTTGTTTGTTTTCTTCCACGTCTTTGAATGGTTTTTTGGGGGGTCTTATCATATCCAAAAACTCACCAAATTCTGGCCCGATATAGAAAGTGCATGAAATGTACGTATTTCAATGGCGATGTGAAGGTTGCTAAAAAAAAGTAGCTCGACAGCGCCCCCTTGAAAATTAAAAATACTCCTCCGCTTTGACCTTTTTTTAATAGTAGACTGATGAAATTTGGTACACTTGTAGAACTCAACAATACGCACAGAAAAGTCTCTTGCACCCATGGCCAAAATCAAACAGGAAATTGGCCATTTTGGACTGAAGTAGCGATCTTGACCTTGTTTTGGTCGTTTGTAGTGTCTGTATTTGGTTGAACAGTTTGGTCATTTTTCGCACGATCGTCTCAAATATAGTGTGCGATCGATCAGAAGGGATGGATGATTTAAATGAGAAAATAAAACTGACTTTTTTTAAATAATGAAGGGGCAGGGCCGGGCCTCGAAGTTCGAGCACTCGCCAAAAAAATTCAAATGGCTATAATTTCATAAATCAATAATTACAGTTAAAAAAATTGTGGACATTCTTCATCGGTCCCCGAAGAAAAATTAATGGTTGATTGATGATGTCACACAAGCCCCCTCAGGACTAAAAGGGTCAAATTTTACTGTGAAATTTCCCAAAATTCGCCATTTCGTATAATCACCACAAACTTGTAGCAGATAACTGAAGACAAGTTGGGGTTGCTGGGCCTCACTTTACGGGAGCTTTCAAAAGACAGCACGGCTGTGATGGCGCTGCGAAGTCAGACGTAACGCCATGGCCATACGATTGCCTCTCATTTAGTCAATTCTAAAGCTATCGCTACGAAATTTCTGATGAGTGATCCTAGTATGATCCACAATAAAACTTGAAATCAAAAGTTGGTAGGCGTGGACAATTTTTTTAAATAGCGCCCCCTAGCACCCTTAAAAGTGCCAGCCCCAAGCCATGCTTTGACTGAGGATTGTGATAAACCCAAACCTCAATAAATATTACCCTGAAAATCTGGTGGGTGTGGCTTAGTTTCTTCACTAGCGCCCCCCTAGGTCCAATAAAAATGTCAGCCCCAAGTTATGCTTTGACTGAGGATTGTGAAAATTTGTATACTTATGTAATGTCTTAGGACCTACAAAAAACTCTCTTGGAGCCATGCTCCATATCCCACAGGAAGTCGTCCATTTTGGTCCAAGTACGCCATTTTGTGATTTTTGCACACTTCAAAGATACGTCAACTCCACAGCGCCCCTTACCCCCATCGCATTCATGCTTCTGCTGAAAACTCTTAAGACAAAGCGGGAAAACTGAACCTACGGATTTTCACAAACTAACGGTGTGGGCGTGGCTAAGCCTCAAACATCGACCTGTCACCACACAATGCTTATACTTTCAGAGCTCCCTATTGGACTCCTTTCATCTATTCAACAGCAATCTCTGCCAAATACCAATACATAAGTTGGGGCTACTTGGTGTCTAGTACTGCCAGGTTTCAAAAAAGGGCAGGGCCCTGGGAGCATGGGAAAATTCGCCATCACGCCAAGTTTGCTTCTCATTTCCTCAGTTCTCACGATATCACCAAAAGATTTCTGGTGAGTGATCCTATTCTGACCCCCAATATAAATAGATGTCATAAGCTGGTGGGCATGACCTTTTTTTTCTGAAATAGCGCCCCCTACGACCATTAAAACTCTCACCCCCAAGTCATGCTTTGAGTGAGGATTGTGAAATTTTGCACACTTATGTAATGTGCCTGGGCCTACAAAGAAGTCTCATGGAGCCATGCTCCATATCCCACAGGAGGTCTGCCATTTTGTTCCAATTATGTTAGAGTTTCTTTTGAAGCTGGAATATTTTAATAATGTAAAACATTTTAGTGGGGACTGTTGGCAGGCTAGGAGGATAGGTTGAGTCAGGATGAGGTGACAGCTCACAGTGATCACAGTTAAATGCACGTTGGGGTGTGTGGTGCGCATGGGGGCTCGTGCGCCACCGGTTGAAGGGTGATGGGTTGGGAGAGCGTTGGAGATGGAATGGAGGGGGTGTGAACGGAGGGCGAGCAGCTTCGCTGCGAGGGCCTAACGATGCTGCTGGCAGCTTTAATTTTTTTTTTTTTGCCTCCCTCAGAGCGGTCTTTAGAGTGCTCCCTCTGGCCGAGTCATTGACAAATGTTGCTTTGAAATGTAGAGAAGTTTGAAATGGGAGCTGTGGTTACACTTATCCTCGGATAGGGGCTGTCACTGGCATGATATCACTATCTCTGGCAGTTAGAATCAACTATGAGAGTGAGGGGAAAGAGAATGAGATGGAGAGATTGGGTGACTGGCAGAGATCCCACAGAGTTTTGTGTGTGTGGAAGCCAGAAAGCAAACAAGTTTGTTCTCTATGGTCCTGGAGTGTGTCTCCATCAGTGAGTGCTCATTCATTTATGCAGGAGTGAACTTCGTTTTTACTGTGTATTAAAATTACGTCCTTTCAGTGCCAAACATACATGAAGATGTGCAAATAGGCAATTCCACTGGCAACACTGACACAAGTTATTCTGAAAAGTCACATTTTGACACATTTGTTTTTGTTCTTGCTTATTCAATTCATTATTACAAGATATAAACACAATATTGGTAAAAAGGTAAGAATTAAATATGGGTTGCAGTGGCAGCTGGTGATTTTTTATTTTTTTTGGTGGGATGCATTTTTGCATTTCTTTAGATGCACTAACCACATCTTGCCACTATGAGCACCAAATTGCCATTCTTATGCGTCACACAACTTGAACCTGGCGGACCCGGTACCAGGTCCACGAGCACTTCCAGCAACAAAATTGTTCCAGAAACATGTTTGATGTTCACCTAAACATGCAAACTGCACATGTACTTAAAGGAAAGAGGCTCATCTAAACAACAGAATCCATTTTTTCTTCCTCAACAATACTCAATGACAATAAGCAGCTAAATGAAATGCTAATTTCATGAAGTCAAAAACATAAATTCAGTCTTACCTTTGCTGTTTTATGGTCATAATAATCAGTGTTATAGTAAAATAAATCCACTTGATTCAATTAATCCTAAGTCCTGATCTGATTCCTGACTGCTTTGGCTGTTTTTACTTGCTGGAGAGTGTTTACAAGTCTCCGATGCCACATGCCATCATTTTTCTGGTTCTCCATAGAAAATGATGAGTAATGAGCAAACCTCTGCTAGCAAAGGCTCTCCTATGGGAAGGTGATCCAGCTCACATGTGCCAGTTATGGCATTGGTCTATGGTAAAGGTTGTTGTGCCTGAACAGGAAATACATCACAAGGCGGTTTGGTTGTGGTAGAAGTGTGAGAGAACATATAACTACTCCTAAATGCAGAATAAACACAGCACTTATAGTCTGTATGATGGTTTAGTTAAATGATCATGTCTTTTTATATATTATATATATTTTGTGATTACAATCTTCTTATTTCTCTTCCTGTGAGACTGGTGGGGCAGCACCCTTGCACCCCCTATGGACGAGCTGCCACTGGTTGGCTGTTAACTCTGGTTCCATTATCATTAGAATCCCATTTAATCATCAGACATCAAGAGTGAAAAACATCAGAGAGGTATCCCTTTTACATTACATTAGCTCAAATGAAGAGCATAAACACTTTTTTAAATAAAACTTCTAGCTATTGCTGTGTGTTTCAAGCACTGACTGACAGTCCTATCTCTTCTATATAAAAATTGTTCTCTGCAGCAGTTTTCTGTCTGACTTTGACTGATTATTTAAAGGCATACACTTCAGACCTGTTCATAGCTTCCTGTGTTGCATACATTCATGTTTCTTACTCGGTTTAAGTCACCTGTCAATCACTGGTCTGCTGTCTTTATATAAGTGCCTGTCAGGACAAAAGTAGTCTGTAAATGTCAAAGCTGTTGTGAGTTTAACAACTAAGAAGGGTGACAAGTTTATCAGTCAATAATGGAGCATGCAATTAATGTTCCTGTTTATGATTAAGTTGTCACATGCGTATGAAATTATGGTCACTTTAGAATCGTTTCAATGTGTTTACTAGATGGTAGGTTAAGCAGAACAACCTACATATTGAAATAAAAAGATTTTATGGAGTCTGTAAGTTTTTCTGTGTGCAAAACTTGTGTTTTAATATAAAACTACTTTTTTATCTTTTATTTCATTCACAATGTATAAAATAAACACAAACAAGTACAGGATACATTAACATATTGAAAAAAAAACATTTGAATGAAAAGGAGCAGATAGAAGAAAAAATCTTATGATTTCTGCCCCTTTTTACGAAATAAAAGTATCCGCCAAACAAACAAAATATAACCTCAGTCACTTTCTAATATTTTCATGTCTAATCTTTGACATTATAATTCACCTTTTCATAATTACTAAATACATTAGATTTTATACATTTTTTTAATATAGCAAGTGTAGTTGATTCTTTAAATTCCCTGTTAATGGCATTCCTCAATCTTACACCATTTACAGAATTGTTACATTCCCTCACTTTGGTTCTGAATCTAGGTTTCTTAAAGACATCAGTTCCTTTTAACATGTACCCACTTACTCTCTTATGAAACATTTTCTGAATATTAGTTAGTAGATTACTCGTATTCGCTCTGTACATTATCTGCAATATTTTCCACTCTACCAAGTCAGGAAATTTCAGTATTTTGTATCTAATAAATAATTGATTAGTGTGATCTCTATATTTACTGTTATTAATGATTGTCAATGCTCTTTTTTGCAAAATGAACAATGGTTGCGTAAAAGTTTTGCAAGTGGCTCCCCAAATTTCTAAACAATAAAATAAATATGGTTCAATCAGTGAGTGATACAATGTTAACAACCCCGACAAATTTAGTGGAAACTTGACTCTATATAATACACCTATGGCTTTGGCGATTTTCCCCTTTATATAACCTACATGTGATTTCCACATGAGACTCTCATTGAACATGACTCCAAGAAATTTGGTTTCTTTTACTCTTTGAATTTCCATTCCATCTATCATTAAAGATACATCGCAGCTTCTTCTATTATTAAACAGTATAAAGTTTGTTTTGTTCAGGTTCAGTGACAGTCTATTTATATCAAACCATTTTTTAACTTTAATCAATTCACTGTTTATCACTTGAGTTACTTCATGTGCATTTAATCCTGAATAAAACAAATGTGGTATCATCCGCAAATAAAACTGTGCCAAGTAAATTAGATACATTTACCAGGTCATTAATAAACAATATGAACAGTTTAAGTCCGAGGACTGACCCTTGTGGCACACCATAATAAATATCTTTTAATTCAGAGTTAGCATTATTTATTTGAACAAACTGTTTTCTATTGCGTAAATAACTATTAACCCATTGATCCGCCACCCCTCTTATTCCATACCGGTGTAATTTAAGAAGTAACCTTGAATGATTAATGACATCAAATGCCTTTTTTAAGTCAATAAAAACACTAATGAAATAGTTTTTATTGTCAATTGCTGATGAAATTTTATCTACTAAATCCATAACTGCCATTGCTGTTGAATGTTTTGTCCTAAAGCCATACTGTTCATGATTTAAAATTGAATTTTTGTCAATGAATTTGTCCAACCTTAATGCAAACACTTTTTCTAATATTTTGGAAAACAGTGGAAGCAGTGACACTGGCCTGTAATTAGTGAAACTCTGTTTATCACAGCTCTTAAATAATGGAACCACCTTGGCAATTTTCATTAAATCAGGATTACTGAAAAGTCTACTGAGTATGTACTTCTCAGAGATATATAGAAGCACTTCTTAGTACTTTATAAAATCCCAAGAGTTTTGCATCTCACAAGGGTTGAGGTGAAGGATTATGGTTAAGAATCGTGTCAATACTAGTAGCATGAGGCAATATCCATATGTGTCCATGCCCAAAAGTTTACTGTAGGTTTTTCTGAGATGGACAGAGCTGCTGAAGGTCTCTAAGCCATCAGCCTGACTGCAGTCTGCTCTTTTTTTGTAAGGAGCAGCGTGAGTATTACCAGAGCCCCACAAAGTGACCTCTATCGGGCTACTGGCATGAATGTTTCTGACCAAATCATTAGAGACAGATTTCATGAGGGTGGTCTGAAGGCCTGACATCCTGAGCCCGTTGTTCATTGCCCAGTTCTGTGTAACCCTTTGGCGTTTGCCAGAGAACACCAGAACTGGCAGGACTTGCACTGGTGCCCTGTGCTTTTCACAGAAGAGAGCAGAGTCACTCTGAGGTCTTTGATACCTATGGCTTTGTCTCCACTATAGGATACAAAGTTGGTGCTTTTAGGACTTTGCTTAGATGTCAGTACATTGCCACGGTGGGTGACATCACTGAACAGCGCCAGAAAAACATCCACATACATTAATGTCATTAAAGATGTTTTATTCTGCCAAAGTACAAAGTAATTTGTTCCATTCAATGGGGACATTGTCTGTGTGATGTAAACAGCAGCATTTTGTGACTGGAAGAAGTGCCATTTTTACAACATTCTGTAAGACCACAAAACACTGTGAATTATGGTGTGGAGGGGGGATTTCTACCACATCTTTCAGCATTGGTAGTTTAGAAATGGCAATTTTAAGCAACATGAATGCCTATTTAAATTTCCTTCAATTCTGCTTCACCAGCTACGTCCAATTTCATAAATGACTTATTGTGGCGACCCCTGCTGATATAATTTCCTACTGAGTTACAACCAGTCAGCATGAGTTAACCACAAATCCTATTCAACAACTCTACCAAGGCTGTCGGAGTACATACAGGTGCTCCTGAAATGGCCTGGAAAATTGTCCTTTTTGGCCAGCCTGGTGAAAGGGTGACACGCTCATGCCCCAAAAGGACCAGTAAAATCAGGCCTATTGAAAGGACCTTCATGATCACCTGACCTAAATCAAATAGACCATCTCTTGGACATCATGTTCAGGCCACACCTCAGTATATACAGGAGCTTAGTGATGCACCGGTCAGGATCTGACCTTCTCCACTACACCATCCATCAAACATGCCCCAACATTGTCAGGCTAGCGTACAAACAGGTAGGGGAAATGCAAACCATTTAGTACCATCGTGAGTTGCTGCAATAAGCTTCAGTAAACTGGAGCGGCCTGCCACAGCATTGTTTTTAGTTTCCATCTCCAGATGAATACAGTTCGAGATGTGATGTGTTTTCGAATGCTCGTTTAGTTTTTGACAACTGTTAGCAGCTACAAAACAAAGCTTCTGTCAGTTCAGTTATTTTCAGGTGTCGTTGCTAATTGTGTGTGTTTGTGTACGTTATGTTCCAGCATTTAAACAACAGTTTTTTTCTTTACTAGAGCTTCCACATTACCACTTTTTGCCAAGCAATTGAAATATTTAACCCTATTTTTCGTCTGATGAAACATGAAGTTTCTTTGCAAGCTGTATTTCCATTACATAATAACCAGTGACAGCTATCAGTAGCTCACATATTAGCAAGATAATCCAAAGCAGCAAATAAGAAAGGATGGAAGCAAAAAATATTATAGAAATAATGTTAACAGGCTAAATGTGCATCTGGCCCTTTTTTTATCAAATGTCTGTCTTTCTCAGGAACTTACGTGATGCATCTGTCAGCATTTGATGCGGATGACAACACCACAGCTAATGGAATGGTCCGCTATCGGATCCTGCCCCAGACACCACACAGCTCTATTCCCAACATGTTCACCATCAACAGTGAGACGGGGGATATTGTGACAGTAGCACCTGGACTTGACAGAGAGGTTGGTCCTTCATGTTTTGCACTTCACAAAAATAATGTGACAATAAATAAGCAGATGCTTTAAAACCTGTGAACCCCTCTGGCATGCTCAGCGTCTGAGTGGACAATGTTATTTTCCTTCATGGTGCGCAATTCCTAATATCATTGTTTACTCCGGTGACACTTTGAGATGCTGCTTTTAAATCTCTTTTGTACGTTCTTGCTGTGTTTGTCTTTAAATTCCATTTTTGGTTATTTTTTTAAACACATATAAGGTTTTTCTTTACCTTGCTGATGTTTCGTTTACGGCTGCAAACATCTTCGGAGCTGACGCTGATGGTGGCGTCACTTCCTACTCCATTTATCCACGGGCAGCAGAGGACATTGTCGCCCTCTGCTGCCCATCTTCGAAACAGACTAGTGCACCCAAAAGACAAGATACCAACTGGGCATAAATGTAGAGTCGTTTACGAAATCCCGTGCAAACTCTTCAGTAAAACTTAGATAGGAGGAACCGGACGCCAACTCAACACATGAACAATAGAACATAGAAAGGAGTGTGAGAAAGAAACAAGTTGAAGACACACAAGAGCAGCAAAACAAGAAGCAGAAAGTGCAACAAAGAAATCGGCCGTAACAGATCACTGCACAAGAGAAAACCATGTAATGGACTGTGACAACACAAGGATCATAAACACCGAAAAACAGAAATACAAAAGATGGATAAAAGAAGCTATAGAGATAAGGAGATGTGGATGTGAGACCATGAACAGAGACGATGGAGTTTACACATTGGATCGCGTATGGGACTGCATCATCGGAGAGGGGAGAGCGGGTAGCAGAGGGCGACAACGTCCTCTGCTGCCCGCGGATAAACGGAGTAGGAAGTGACGCCACCATCAGCGTCAGCTCTGAGGATGTTTGCAGCCGTAAACGAAAAGTCAGCAAGGTAAAGAAAAACCTTATCTGTGTTTAAAAAGAGCCAAAAAATGGAATGCACATGTGTTCAGCCCCCACCACACACACACATATAAACTCTCTCCCCTCTTTTCTGTTGTTTTTTTTTTTATTACAGTGAATTGTCTTCAGTCACCTTGTTTATAGAGCTTTTAAAGTTGTGACAAGATCCAAATGTGTTTATTCTTGCAACATGGATGTGCCAGTGACAAGTGTGCAAAAAGAAATCTGCGCAACTGATTCATCCTCCTGAACTGTCACTAGTGACAGACCTATTAACAACACATCATGCTGCAGTGGGATGTTCACGTTGTGCTCTGCTTGCCTGTGTGTGTGTGTGTGTGTGTGTGTGTGTGTGTGTGTGTGTGTGTGTGTGTGTGTGTGTGTGTGTGTGTGTGTGTGTGTGTGTGTGTGTGTGTGTGTGCGTGTGTGTGTGCGTGTGCGTGCATGCATGTGTGTGTGTGTGTGAAGAGGGATGGAAATTTTGGGAGATAGAATGCCCTTGGCACCTGTCAGACAAACACAAAAGCCCAAATAATCACATCTGAGCTCAATAAAATGCAAGCTGTGGAGTGAAAATGGCAAACTGAGGGGAAGTGTGAGAACAAAAACAGAGCTGAATGAATGGGAATTACCATGATGAGAAAAGAAGGGAGTGTGAATTGGGCTGAAGAAATAGGGTGATAGAGACAGAGAGGATGAGACACCAATGTGCCAGAAGCGAAGGGTAGGTATGAGGGCAGCGTGGACTAAAAAATTCTCCATTTATTTTTATTCTGTTTTATCTGCACAGTGCAAATCCAGACAGTCACCCTAAAATATAGAATTAAAATCCTGCTAGACTCATTTTTTACTTCAAAGGACTCAAACTGATATAATTTCTTACTCTTGCATCTATCATTTCATCACGTGAATGTCCAGGTTAGTCTCATTGTGTTCAGTTTTTTTTTCTTTTTTTCTTCAGGACATTTTTGGAACACGTCTTTTTTCTCATATTGTAATCACATAATGTTTCCACTTCCTGTTATCTGGAACAAGCTCTGGAGAAAGCTACAGGCAACAATTACCCCAGCTGAGGAGAAAGTTGCCCAAACAGAGCGTCTCTAAATTGGTATAGAGATGAGCATGCTAGGTTCAATTCTTTTTTATTCTAAGGCCAAAGTAGGCCATAGAAGTTAATGATTATTGGAGTCTTGTCAAATGACTATATGAACAGCTACTTTTTTTCCTACTATTATCGAGTAAGGATAAATGTGGCTGAGTAGTCTTAGAGGAAAGGGGAAAGCAAGGCTAAAAGCCTGCTTCTGTAACTTTTTGACCCTCTGACAATATCAGCTAGATCAGAGCATCTTCAGACCCCTAGATCTTGTAAGATGTTTGCTGTAATTGCTATTATTGAGCTTAAGTGGGCCAAAGAGGGACAAATTCAAGAGTTTCTACGGCACAAATCATGAAGTCCAAATGGCATAACGCTGTTGAACTTTGACTGCTGCGTGCCTCAGAAACTGGTTGGTAACAAGCAGTTGTGACTGAAAGGTATTGATCAAGTAAAGGATTTAGGACTATGATGGCACAGTTTAACGCCCTTAAGTGCTGCTATGATTAAGACGTGCCAGAGCACTCAGTGCGTTGTGTTGACTTCTGAAAGGACTTACAGTCGGCATGTAACTGTCAGTCTTTGCCTCAGAGTCTAATACCACAAGATATATGAAGATGTTTCATCGAGTTCAGACATTTCTCTTTTCTGTTTGGTTTTTCAGATTATTTTTTTTACCTAAAAAAGTAACATTGTACAAGTACTGCATATTTTCCTTTGGATGGATACTAAGCAGTTTTGCTTGCTTTTAGCACCCCTTTGTGTCCATTATTAATTATCTGTGGTCAAAGCAAAAGTGAAACAGTTGAAATGCATCCTCAGCTTTCATTAGTTATTAGAGTAGTGATTCATCACTAAATCAAACAAATCAGCTGTGTTCACGATCCAAAACACACAGGAATCATGTGCTGCAAGCAGACTGCAATGGCATCTCAGCTCCATTTCACTAAGTCCAACAGGGAGCAGTCCAGATACTCTGAAGTTGCAAGTGTGGTATTCTGGCCACAGGGGGGCAGTGTGGTCTGACTGGCATTTCCTCAACCCTGTAAAGGGTAATTTTAGCACACACTGGCTCAAGAAAATGACTTAAAAACATGAAAAAGTTGCATAGTATGCCTTTAATTTTGTGTTGCTTTAAAAAGTTTTTATTTTTTATTGAGCAACCTTCTTTAATGTGACAAATGCCATCTTATTGTAACTGTTTTAAAATAACATTAAAGCTTTTATGTATTTCAGTCATAATGTGAGCTTTTTGCAGTCTGAGGTCTAAAAGACCTTACAGGTCACAAAATACAACAAAAAGATAATTTTTTTAATTTATTCATTGTATCCTCCTGAAATTAGCACTGATCATTATACCATACTCTGTTCTTAGTTTTTAAGACATCCTCTTTCTCTACTTTGTAAGACCCTCATTGATTCTCCTCTAAAGATTTCCACTGGTCTGCAGTGGACTTGTTGACAGTTGCAGACCTCATTCCCAGAGGAAATTCTCGATGCCGTAGTGCTGTTGCAGTGCTGAGAGTTTTCAGAGGAGCCCTGCATAATTACTTTGTTGTCCAATTAGCGAGAGTGTTGTATAAACGCTGTTCACAGGCTGATGGGACAGGCAGACAAGTACAAGATATGTAGAATGAGAGTTGTCACTGCATGGCCATGTGTGTTTGTGGAGGCGTGTGTGTGTGTTAATGAGTGTGTGCAAGGTTGGAGTTCAGCATCTCATTTAGCATCAAGATGAGAAGGACAGCGAGGAGCTGTCTAATCCTCCTGATGTGGCATCCTGGCCTAATTGGGATATTTACTCGGTAATTAGCAGGTGAGAGAGAGACAGTGGGAATGTAATTGGGAATCTCAGTGACAAGACATATTATCCAGGCAGTCAGCTCCCAGGCTCCATCCTTACTGCAGCCCATTAGCTGCACCCTGGGACAGAGAAGGAGATAGAAAAAGGAAGTAAAAAGAGCCACATGGTTTGAAAAGCACTCTAAAAATGCCTCCAAGTCTAGAAATACAAATACAAGAATCATTTTCAGGTTCCATTGAAGTGGCACAGTGTCATTTCAAAAGAGGAAATTGCATTTATTATTCCCTCATATTACTGCTTCACAGATAGTCTGTTAATCTCTGTCAGTTGGATCATTGTCTTCACATCTGTCCATCACTGCTACTGAATAAGCAGAGCGTTTGATGGCTTTGATGGAATGCCGTGTTGGGAGGCTTCACAGTCCAGACTGGATGGTGTTATGATGTCTGGCCAGGTTCCACTGAGGAGGTTTCAGCTCTGTCAAATGAAAGACTTCACCCTTGTGATTCTGTGTTTCAAACAAGACCATGGACAGCGACTGCAGAACAGAACACAGGCTCAGCTTTGTTTCCCCCAGGAGTCACAGGCTGTGGCTGCTGCTGTCGGCTCGTGGAAGAGAGAGCTCTTTGCAGATGAATAACTGCATACTGTTTTCTTTCTGTTCCTGCTTTTTTCAGAAAGTGTCTCAGTATACCATCATTGTGCAAGCCACGGACATGGAGGGCAACCTAAGCTTTGGCCTTTCCAACACAGCCACTGCTATCATCACAGTCACGGACATCAATGACAACCCTCCCATGCTGACCTCCAGAACTGTAAGTTATTACAAATGTGGGGGTGTGAAGAAGATAACGATTCAGAATGAAGAAGAATTGCATTCAGAGTTGAAGAGGAAGAAAATGACTAGAATGCTAGAAGAAAAATATATGAGAAATATATCTAAAGAGAAAAAATGAAAGGAGGAAGGCAGAGAGAGGCAGCAGGAAAATGAAAAACAGTAAAATTAAATTCTGTTTCAGCCCAGGGTTATTGGTGTCCCAACATTTCAAAATAAAAGTCATCCCAGGGCACTTTACAAAGAGGCAAAGCCAACTGAGTACAACACGTTTAGGTTTTACTGAATGTTATTGTGTAAGACAAGCTTTACTAAAGAACAATGACAGAGAATATTTTAAACACACACTCACACACACATACACAAACACTCATGGAATACTAATCCATATTATTGACATTCACCAGCAAGAATATTAAATCCAGCAAATGGTTAATGATCGCTGCCATCAGAGGGATATTTACTGTAGAATGATGATTACATTACAGTAGGTCATTACTGGGAGCAAAGTAAAAATTAAAAGTCTAATGTAATGCATGTCATATACAGTAGCTTATTAAATCAATATAAAAATAGAAAAGTCCTTTTTATATCATTCCTCCTTAAGATCTTTCATATGACCTGAGTTGGCCGTTTAGAAGTTTGAATTGTTTTTATTATTTTTTTCAAAAGATTATTTTAGAAATGAATAATTCCCAATAAAAACTTAAAGTGTTTTCTTTATCACTGATCATTCTGAGAGAAAATCTGCTTGGAGGCAGGATGTCTAATGATGTGATAAAAACATGTCTGCTTGTGATGCCATCGTTGTGTAACATCTTCAGATAACTGCCGCAGTCGCGCATAAGACATAAAAGGAGGATCCTGTTACTCAATAGTAAAACGGTTTAGATTACATCACCTAAACCGTGTAAAGTTGAAATTGTGATTGCTCAATTAAAATCTCCCAACTGCTATTTCTTGAGAAACACAATGCTGATATTACTTGTTAAGCCAGGAGTGAGTAACACCTAGGATATTCTAGATAGCTTGGCTTCTTTATGTCCCACAAGATGGACGTGCTAACATTTAGTGTTTAAGTCAAAGTGGATTCCTTCCATCTTAGAACTGATCAAACATCCTAAAGTCCACAGTAGTTTATCCAATGTTATGTTATAAACATTTACACCACCATCAATCATGCAGTCCTACAGTTATGTACAATATGTTTGACAAGTATAAATCATCATACATAAAAAAATATCCCCATCATGAGCAAAATGCATCACAACCATTGTGCCCTGGAATCAGTCTCAGCAGGATAGTCCTAATATTTCTGCTGAAATATTCCTGTACTACAAAATAGTTGGCAGAGAAATGGTGTATTGATGAAAAGTAGATCTGCATACTCATAAAGCCAAAGCCAATGCAAAAATAGTTCATTAGTTCTGACTTCGTCCAGAGCCCTCCATCGGGCTAATGAGCTTTACAGAGTTACTATCAACATCCATGCTTTACAGTGGGAATGGAAATTATTCAGAACACCGTCAATGTTTTACTGTTTTGTTACGTTGCAGCCATTTGCTAAATTCAATTAAATTCAGTTTTTTTCCTCATTAATGTACACACTAAATGTCACTAACAAAACATTTAACCAAAGATAATCAAAGAGATCAATAAACTGGCTAAGACAGGTAGTGGATGCAGAACGTATTCAGACTCCCGTTAGTTTTTCACTCTTTGGCAAATTGCAGCTATTTGCTAAAATCCGTTACATTCATTTTTTCCTCATCAATGTACACGCAGCACCCCATATTGATAGAAAATCACAGAATTTTAGAAATGTATGCAGATTATTTAAAAAAGAAAAACTGTAATATCGCAAGGTCCGAAGTATTCAGACCATTTCCTCAGTATTTAGTAGAAGCCCATTTTGAGCTAACACAGCCATGAGTCTTCTTGGTAAAGATGCAACAAGTTTCTTACACCTGGATATGGGGACCTCTGCCATTCCTCCTTGCAGATTCTCTCCAGTTCTGCCAGGTTCGATGGAGAACGTTGGTGGACAGCCATTTGTAGGCAGAGATGCTCAATTGGACTACCACATTATATTGTGATCCATGCAAGCATTGTTTAATGAACAATCATGTGGAAAAACAAGTTTGCAAGAACCACATTTTTGAAGTTTGAAGCTATTTTAAGACAGCAGCAACTCACTCTGTTCTGTGCTGCTCAGACTAGTAATTAATTCATCTGTCCTATCGTAGTTAAACTCAATTTCACCAAGGAGAGTTTATTCAAATAATTATCAAAAACATGGAAGTTTGTAACTATTTATAACATTTATAAACCTCCAAAAAGACCATCATTTCCCTGTAGTCATTGTATGCTTTTCTCAGTAGTGACAAGCCTGGGAGGACAGAGTCCTTATACAAAACTACTCCAGGAGCATTATGACTAAGACATGTATGCTGAACCTCTTCAGCTGGTAGTAAAGTAATGAGCATCAGCATTCGCCCTGGGGGCTACCAAGACCCTTTTGATGATTAGTTAGCATTGGCTGTATGTCACGTTGTGAGCCAGGAGGAGGTTAGGACCCAAGATGCAAAAAACCCCACAATGACAAAAGCAGGTAGAAAAAAACGTAAAATCCTTTATTTAGGAATACATGTCCAAATAAATCCAATGAGGGCAGGAAGCCAAAAAAACCAATGTCCAAAAATCCTGGAGACAAAAGCTCACTTAAAGAGCACAAACCTAGAGACCAAGTGGAAGCCAAATACCTGGAGACCTAGAGCGGGGAACGAGACAACGCTGACACAACAACGGACCGACAACACACTGAGACGCAGACAGGGTTGTATACACAGGGGTGATTAAGGGAATTGGACACAGGTGAGACTAATAGCAGAAAGGAGCAGGGGAGGAAACCAGACCTAACTGGGGAAGGAAGCAAAAATGAACCAAATGGAGATACTGACTAAATGATCCAAACATGAAGGAAACCTAATGATAAGTGGGGTGACTAAGGGAAACGTGAGGGAAACCTAGGGAGAACCTGGAGAGGGCTGGGGACCACAGGTACACAGAAACCTAAGGGGAACACCTAAGGAGAAAACCTAGAGGGATGGGGAACACAGGGGGACACATGAGGGGGTTTCTCAGAACTTGACACTGTAAGCATGTGTTAGCCATAGAGCTCATCAGAGATTTCCTAAACAACACAAAGGCAAGAAAGTCTGCATCAAACGTGCAGAAGATGTGGAGAGAAAACAAGAACAAAGCAAGAATTGATGTGTAGACCAGCATCTGAACTCTAGTTAGAAAAAATATGCGGTGAGGGAATGATGGGGAGACAGGAAAAGATGAAGGAACATTTAAAACCAAGAGCCATATCCTACAGTAGCAGTGATAAAGTGGAGACATGGCTTGTTGTAAATCAGTAGTTCTCCCTGACTCTGCACCACCACCCCTCCCCTTTTATGCATGAAGAACCCCAACTGATATTAATGATAGCTGGCAATAACAGATTGATATTCTCTAACTGGATTCTACCTATTTTAAGTGCATTTCCATCAGCGTCACACCAGGAAGTTAATACTATCACAGATATTGATGTCAGACTTTAGTGGAGGGTTTGGATTCACGATGAGCAGCACACTTTTATCCACTCCCTTCATAAATCATCCATTTTCGAGGGGAGATAACATAAAAGCCATTTTGTTGAGATTGCAGACCATTATGCAAATATTTAGTTTGAGCTATAAACCCCATAGATCTTTCAATGTGTCCCAGAAATATAAAGTTTGGGGAATTTGTCTTTAATGTTGATGATTAATATTTCATCCTGCCTATCAGAGGCTGGCCTATTTTTCAACCCGGCAGAAGGCGCGTGTGTGTGTGTGTGTGTGTGTGTGTGTGTGTGTGTGTGTGTGTGTGTGTGTGTGTGTGTGTGTGTGTGTGTGTGTGTGTGTGTGTGTGTGTGACTTTGGATGACTCTTGCATTATGCCAATGATATAGAGAAGAAATGAAAAAAAATTATTGATATCTCTGTTTTTTTATGAGCTCTCTACATGTAAACATTGTTTTTCATATGGTATTAAAGTTTGGTGTGAGGATCTACAGTCCAGCCATTTGGGTATGGCTTTGAAGAATGGACTGCACAGGTTGTCTTGGCCTCCTGCCTGCATCATCCTCATAAAGTTCACATGATAAAGTTCCCCTGTCACTGCTCCCCTTCTTCCTCCCTGTGCCTCTTGTAGCTTCGCCCCAATGCCAGCATAGTGACACAAGATAGAGGGTGTTGGCAAGGTTTTTTGTGTCAAGCGTGGAGAGAAAGCCAACTGTACTCATTGCCAATCACAATCAAAGACTTTCCTTGTATTCCAGCACTTGGCAAAAGATATCAGATATCAGATATCAGAGAAAAAAAATGACTCATCAAAGGTTTTAGAGATGTTTTCCACTAATCATGTTTTAAAACTATCACAGACTGCAATGTATTACCAGAACCATGACAGCAAAATAGAATGCTCTTCTAATAAAGTGACAGTAGTAGCTCAGGCAGTAGAGTGGGTTGTCCAATAATCGGAAGGTTGGAAGTTCGATCCCAGCTCCCACCAGAGAATGCTGCTGTTATGTCCTTGGGCAAGACATTTAACCCACCTTGTCTGCTGGGGTGGTCGGAGGAACCGGTGGCACCTGTGTTCGGCAGGCCTTACATCTGTCAGTGTGCCCCAGGAAAGCTGTGGCTACCATCATTGGGGAAATTGGGTGAATGACTGATTTTGTGGTGAAGCGCCTTGGGGGGTTGTAGAACCTTAAGAAGTTCTATACAAATACAGGCCATTTGCCAAACCATTGTTAAACACATGTCAGTTCGTGTAAAAGTGGTTTGTTTCTTATTTTTTCTAAATCAGTTCTGCCTGGCAACCCTAAAAGAAATTTCCGAATACACATTTTATCTCATGGCTGCAGTTAGAGTTTGAAATTCAGCAGTTATTCAACTTTCATTGGCAATCAGTGTCACTACCATAAAACCATAAAGTCTAAAGTCTAATTTAAACATTTCTGTCTATGTCGGTACGAAGACTTACAACGCAATTATGCATCAGTACAAGGGCTGTCCGACGGAATCACAGAGGGTGGCCTGCCCTGTTTTTTAACTATCTGTTGAAAGTGATGGAGAACTTGTGGTTGGTCAGGTCGCCACTTCGTCAACAGCACCCCTATTTCTCCCTCAAAACAGATATTTTGTGGCCGACACAAAAAAGATTGTACAATGCCTCGCAGAAAAAGTCTGAAATTCTAAGCACGTATTCACCCGTGACCGAAGGAGAACAAGGGTACACAGGAAGCATTTTTTTATGGATGAGAAATGTGGGTTTAGAGGTTCTCTGACAACCCCTCCATCTCCTTCTCTGAACGAAGAGATAATGAAACAAGAAATCTGCGGGAGAAGTATTGATAATCAGAGCTGTGGTTGGGTCTCCAAAGCCTTCCATCCTAACTGGTTAACACTTGGCCTTAGTCATTAGGATGATAGGCAGTTCCCTAAGGGACCCTGAGAGCTCACGCTGAAGTTTTCTTTAAATGATTGGCGTTGGGGAGTCCCTGAGCCAAAACACACGAGCACACACACAAACACTCCCACGGACAACAATAAAATACGACAGCCTGCCTACTTATCCAAAGCAGACAGTGCATCAAGACCACCCGGACTTGTCTGTTGTCTTAAGAATGTCATTGAGTCTCTGAACAGCTCTGCTGACGCAGCCCTCTAATCTGCCCGGTGCTGTCGGCTGTTTGCTGGTTTATGTGAGGGTTGCCAGGCAGGGAATTATGGTCTGTTGGATTGTTTGGTCTGTGGCTTTGCTCTTTGATATCGTACACCCACATAAGAGGCTCAGTGGCTCATCCAGGCCTGGTACCCATAGTGGATATGTTAACTATGCTGGGTTGTATGCCTGTTGCCTCCAGATGAGTTGTGTCACAACCTCATGTCCCTGGACTTGTCATGTTGTTTACGTAGGTGGGGCTGGGGTCAGCTTGTGTTTTACATGGTTGCTGTTTGGAGTCAGTGTCAATTATCCGCTGAGCCTGTGCAGACAAACAGCAATCCTCACCATAACCGACACATGACAGACACCGCCTCATCGGGCTTATCAGAACAAAGCACATGTTTCCAAAGCACAGGGATGAATCAGAACTACTCGGATACACTCAAAAAGCTGCTTTAAGCCTTCCTACTGGTTTTTCTCTTCATATGTTTTCCTGGCCACTCTAAATTTCTAAGGAATGAAATGTCATTGCTCATCAAGGATCAGGTACAAACAATGCAGAACTAAAACAAAGCCCCTGCATATGTGTAGTGTAGGCTGTTTACTGGTTGCTTATGATTCACCAATGACATCTGTTTCTTTCTTAATGACTTCAGGCTCGGTAAAGTATAAAGCCTTTTCACAGGCACATCTCTGGTTTTACCCCACTTTGTGCAGTTTTCTGGTGAGGTCCCAGAGAACCAAGTGGATGTTGTGGTGGCTAACCTGACGGTTATAGACGCGGACCAGCCTCACTCCCCTAACTGGAACGCCGTCTACCGGATCATCAGCGGCGACCCGGCCGGTCACTTCACCATCCGAACTGATCCGGTCACCAATGACGGCATGGTCACTGTGGTGAAGGTAATACACAATCACCATAGCAGGAAGACTTATCTCATTTTCCATGTCGAACATTAAATCCTCTCCAAGGTCAAGGTCAAGGTCAACTTTATTTATATAGCACTTTTACTGTTGCTCACGCAACCCAAAGTGCTGAACAGAACAATGCCATGAAATCAAACAGGCTCCAGTAAAAACATGTTAAAATGGTGGCGTTTAAAACAAATTATATGATAAAAACTAGAAATAAAAGGATGAGAGCATCTCTAGATTTAGGTACGAGCTATAATAATAGGCTACAGCGTTCATCGAGGACAGACTGGAGGCTTTGCCTTTCACATGCCCCCTCATGTCCAAAAGAAGGATTGGAGACTAATGCGCCCTTCAGAAACAGCTCATGCACTCAAACACAGACTTAAATACAATGGCTGGTGAGACCACTGTAGCAAATTAGATATTGATTTCTCAATTACAATGGCAACAGTTTTATACACTCATAATGTTCTAGGTGCGGTGGTAAATGACAGCAACAACAAAACCATGTCTTGTTACAACCAGCTATTTCAGTGGTTAGCCCTTTGAGAGGAAGGTTCGCCACATGGTTTAAACCAATTTCCAATTTAAAAAAAAAAGGATTAAACAATAAAACAACTTCATATGGATTAGCTGTGCTCCTGTTGAATGGCCTACATTTGTTTATCTTAAATCTCAACATGGTGCAGGCCTTTTCTAGAAAATTACTTCTTATTACCGTGACCTTGTGGGCCCACAGAAACTTTCATCAGATATCTGGCTTTTACAACTTACACAATAGACAATAATGTTAAACAATAACATGTGGATAGAATTCCCTGTGCAGCCCCAGCAATGAGCACTGGTATTTTGCTTCTCTTCATTATCTCTAGATGACTGACTTTAATAATCCATTCACCTCACTCCCTCTGAAATTCAGTAGGCAGCTGAGTTGCTTAAGCTTGCATTGAGACCCATGGGAGGTTATCAGGAAATCATAAAATAGGAGACAAGCCACCCCCTGAGAGGAAATAAGCAAAGCACCGTCTCAACAAATAAACAGAGGGTCTTGGGATTGCACAGGGAGTACTGAGCCCAAACACTCACATTGGACAACTTGTGAAAGATAAAGTGAAGAAGCCATGAGGAGCGTCTGCTGCGTTGTTATTTTTATCATGGCCGCTAGTACAGACACATCGAATCACATTGACATCTATGTACACATCAGTCTTCTGCAAGGACCTTGAGCGTCTGTGTAAACAAGGCGCGAGGTCTTAACCACAACATGTCATGCATTTATGCTGCTCTCTGGGGAGTTTAGAGAGACAGAATCTGATTTTTACCACACAGTAACAGAGCAAGTTGACAAACAAGCTCACATAAAGAACACAAATAGAGCAACTTGGCTCAAGCGAGTCATTAAGATATGTAAATCACAGATTATGTTAAACATAGTAGTTGACAAGGGATAGAAGAGTCGAGGAGAGAAGTGATGCAAAGGCAGATTTCTGAGGATTGAGAGCTGGAGCCCACAGAGAGCTCAGATCACAGAGAAGTGAGGTGGGGCAGAGGTGAGAAGCTGAGAGGGCGGGAAGTTGGAGTCCAGCAGAGCAAATTATGTAAAAGGGAAAGAGAGAAATAGGTAAAGTGGCACAGAAGAGAGCTACGATGGGTAAAAGATGGAAGCCTTGTTATTGACCTCTCACCCCTGTGGCTTCCTTCAGGCTGTGTGAGTATGTGTGTTTCAGTTAGCCTTCAGCTATACTCTAGACCTCCTGATGCTCTGAATACCACAGGCTTTAGATCAAACAGCCACAAGCGTGGCTAGCCTGTAAATGGGTTCCCTGTGCGCTTTGGGGTCACACACGATCACGCACTCGTGTGCTTACATAAACTCAAACCAACATGCATGTGCAAATGCGGGCAATGCACTTCACATTAAACATGCACACAAACAATTTCACTCGTTGGTCAACCAACCTTCCTGATTAACAATGCTTTTCATGAGCTGGCAACGGAGCAACACAGCATGCAGATGTGCTCAGAGTCTTTAACTTCATCATCAAACACAAGCGCCACAACAATAATTATCATCTGGCTGTTTCAGAACGTGCCAGCAGTGCACACAAGCAGCATATTTGTTCTTTTTTTATTGCTTTGCTTGTTGTTGTCATTTGAACCTGACGGCGTAGCTGTCATTAAGAGGAAGCAAAACTGCCACTCTGGTTTAAGCTGAGTAGCTGCCGACAAACGTGCTCCGACAGCAGAGCTATGGCAACAACCTATGAATAGTCCCGGCTCTCTTCTGTGCATGTGTGTGTGTTGGATCACGGTGGGGACACTTGATGTGACATCTGTTTGTTTATCAAATCAATCAACCAGATACTGGCAAAAAGAGAAATCTTCATTAAGATTTCTATTTTAAAGTCAACATATTTTGAGTAAACACACCATGCTTGAGCACTTGATGAAATCATTAAAAAGTCATTCTTATGAGAAAAGAGCTGCTGCTTTATTCTCTTGCATTTTGCTGAAGAAATGGATCCTCTCTAGACTCATCGACTCATCGTCAACCACTTAACCAGTTCCAGGTCACAGAGGCAGCAGTTTTGCAGCAAGAAACCACAAACTCGCTTCTCCCCAGAAACCTCCACCACTTCATCTCCTGGGATCACAAGGCATCTCAAAGCCAAGAGATATAAGTCCTCACTGTGCCCTGGGTCAACCTAGGGCCCTGCTGCCAGCAGGACACACCTGAAAGAGCAAATGCCTCAACCGCTGCAGCTGACATCTCAGAATGTGGAGGAGCCGCAGCTGTACTCCAAGATGTTCTCGCTGAAGCCGGCTTTAGTCGTAAAAATGTACGACTTCTTTGCAGAGCGAATCTCAAGTTATGTTCTAACCCTAGTCCAGTTTTCAAATGCAACCTGACTGCTCACACTGTACAGGTAGCAACACTTTAGACCTGAAAATATGCTACAAATAGCAGCATGTCGGACTTTTTATTGTGTTGTTATTGTTGTCTGCTGTCCATCGGGATTACTGTAGGAGGACACACAGGGATTTATGGGGGTTGGAGGAGGAATAGGAAAGAAAGAAAGTAAATCAATATTTTCTCGGTTTCATTAGACGTGAACATGGCAAACATGGTTTCTTGACTTTCCTTGTCATTGTGTGTGAAAAAAAGTGTATAATAGAGATAATAGTATTAACAGGGCTATAGCTGGCAAGCTGTGTTTACACAAATATGTGTATGCGCCGTCAGCGGTTCTGGTACTTTTTGGGTCACGGTGCTGTTTCAACAATGTGATACCCTCATGAGAGACGAGCAAAATATCAAACACACCAGAAAATCGTGATAGCTCACGATTGCTGATCAGGAGCTGTCACAAAATGTTAATCGTCTCTCGTAACCCCTTGTATACTACATGACACACTACACAAAACTCACCCCTATTCTCGTGGATTCTCACCCGAGGGGAGAATCGGCTCAAAAAAGGCACAAAGTTGAACAGCGTCCACCCGGCTTAAGGTTGAATTCAGCCACCCTGTGAAAAGAACTAATTTTGGTTGCTTGTATTTGCTGTCTTGTACTTTCGGTCATGACTCAAACTCATGACCAGAGGTTCATAGCTAGAATTGTAACGAAGATCGAATAATAAATTTAGCAATTTCAAGTTTGTTTTTCCTTTGTTTTCAGACTAGAAATAGGGACTCTTAAGGGTTCTATTAATACTCAGTTTCTTAAGTTTTCTTAATTTATTTTTTTCGTCAGTTTATCAGAAAGTGCAAGGCACACGAGACAACGTTCGGAGCTGTACACAATCATTGAAAATGCTTTTCCTTTTTCTGTTTTTTTATATGCATTTAGAACTGTGCTTTTGATTCTACATAGTTGTCAACGATCACAGCCCAGTGACGTACTGTTTTTTGTTCAAATGGAACTTCCAAGTTATACAAAGATATGACTGGTTCATACAAAAGCATACATTGAATACCTAAACCAAATTACTGCTCTTCCAATGTTAACACTTATGCATTAAATGGTGCATTGTTCTTCCTCAAACATAGTAGACCAATCAGTCATGTGACTATTTGCTTCCTAGCTCACTTTTGTAGGGTTGCTTGCAGCACACTTTTAGACTATGCTTTAAAAATTAAACCAAAGACCCACAGTTAACACTATTAGTCTCCACAATAGAACGTAGAAATGTGATTAGGATATAATGATTACACACTATTCCAAACACATAAATCTGCAAAGAATAAAATACTTTACAAACACATAAGACATGTATAATATTAAAATAAAGAAAAGCAACCAATGAAGTAGGGTACTACAAAATGTACACTAGGGAGGGAAAAGCAGAATGCCTGAAGGGCTACAACAGTTTATCTTCTCTCCTTCCAAACAGTTTTAATTTATTTCCTTCCTTCTGCAGCCAGTGGACTTTGAGATGAACCGTGCCTTCATGCTGACAGTGGTGGCATCTAACCAGGCTCACCTAGCCAGCGGCATCCTGTCCTCACTCCAGTCCACTGCAGGAGTCACCATTTCTATCCAGGACGTCAACGAACCTCCTTACTTTCCCACGAACCCCAAACACATTCGCTTCGAGGAGGGTGTCCCTGCTGGGACCAGCCTGACCACGTTCTCGGCTTCAGATCCTGACCGACTTCAGATGCAACAGATAATCAGGTGATTACCAAACTTCCCTTTGCAAAAGTATTGTTTTTTATTGTAAGATACACAATTATGAGTTTCTTAAAGGGAATATAAGGATGTTTAACAGCCAATGCATTTCCTCATAAGTTCTTCTGCAATGCCCTGGTCCTGCAGAATGATCCCTGACATGTTACAGTGATTGCCTCTGTATTCCTGTAAAATCACAGAAAAAGAGCACGTTCGAGTTTAACAAGCCAGCTTTCCCAGTGCCTTCCAGAGGCATCATCCGCGCTCATGCTCAGGCATAGCCCGTAGCATTTGCTATCTGTTGCTTAGCGGCAGAGCGAGAGGCACTGTTGCTAGCTCAACAACTTTGTTGCTGTTCCTAATGACTTTCAACCCTCCTCAGTGAATAATTTCTCAAAAAAGCTCCTAGCAACAAACCTAGAGACATTTCTGAGGACCCTTTGTTACATTCTGTAGAACTTTCTTGTAGACATTCCCTGCAGATTAGCAACAAAGAAACTATTTGTGGTCTGAACTGTTCTTCTGGGAGCAAGGAAAGTGAATGATAATCTGTGCATGTGCACGATGACTGACCAATCATAGACCTTTCTCAGCCGGGCAGGCAAGAAAGGTGCAGCTGCAGAGCTGGAGTCCGCCAGTTTACGCTTGCTGCTGCTGCAGATTACCACTTCTACTAGAGAGGCGCAGGCCTCAACCTGCAGTCTCCGGCTCTGCAGCCATCAGGCACTTTGGCTATTCCGGCATTTTGCAAATAAAGTCAGTGGGAGTTTGAACTACAGACACGTTAGCACCTGCAGCTCTGTGGATCATCTGAATTCCCTTCAGTGGCACGGGGGTGGTTATATCATGAGACACCCGCTCCCACTTGCTTGGTGCACTGGTGTGCGCCTTTGTTATCATGATCTAGGAGGAGAGAAAACACAACGGAGGAGTGGGGAAGGGGGAAAAGCCGCTGTTCAAGAAAATAATGGTAAACACAGAAACGTGACAGAGTCTGTGAGAATGAGGAGATCAGGAGGTCTGAGCTATGCCACTTTATTTATACTTTTAGAATTTATTTTACATGTCAAAGCAATTTGGGCCATTTTAATCATACTAATTAATCATTTTAACTAATAAAATAGTAATAGGGAGAAAAGGGTTGATTCTTAGTAATTGCTTAGCATAGTAGGAAAAATTTTTAGGCTACTTGTCTAGCGTGTCTACATCAAACTACAGTGTTTGTCTAATTTATTAGAGTTGCGTAGAACAGTCTAAACCTGTAAATTGCACCGATATAGGACTGACTCAGCTGTTGTTTTCATTCAGGAGTGTGCACGTACAGCATGCACGCCTCGTGCGTGAGCTCACTATTGAAGCTGCAGTTATGCATTTGGCCTAAGAAGGCAATCTCTTTAGATGAGATTTAAAGTCCATCCAGATGTTTTAGTACACAAGCCCAGTGTAAAATAAAGCTCTGTGGACCAAAATGGTCTGAGAAACCTCCTGGAGTGGTGCCATCTCAGTAGCTAGGGGTCAGAGTTCAAGTAGAAGGCTATATATTTGCTTAACCCATTTGTCAAAGTCTTATTGTGTTAAGTTGAGGTGTCAGTGGAGGGTTATGAGTAAGAAGGGTACAGAGGGTAACAGGAAAGGATAGCTTCTGTGGTAAACAGAGATGTGTGCAGTCTGAGTAACATAAGCACATGCATACGCAAGAACACACACATCCACATGGAAAGAGACAGAATACGGCAGATGGAGTGAAGATGAGGAGGTAAAGAGAACAGCTGGCTTCAGACCAAGTGCCTGACACTGCATTATTGCCCACCTGCACTGTTTTTGTTTATGCTAAACATTTCTCCATTTCAAAAATAAACCACTCTTTAAATTACTAGTCAGCTTTTCTATAAGACTTTCCGGAATACCATTGATGAAGAGGTACTACTATAATAACATTTTAAGATGGATCAAAGCAAAAGCTTTAGATTCTGATGATGCACCTGCACAACTGAGTTTTGTTTGCTGATAGAAAAAGGAAGTTGTATTGACATAACTTATAAAAGAGAGGGGGGAAAAAGCAATTGAGATGATAACACAAATGTTTAGAGTGGGATTAACGCCACCTCCCTCCAACCATTTCATACTCCACAGCTTTTGCCTTCCAATTTTCTCTGGGGGAACAGATATAAACAAATTTCCCAGCTAATTTCACAGCAAATGAGAGTAAATTGGGTGTACATTATAATTTAGGAAGACTGTAAAGCCACCAGCTGGGCTCTTTCCTTCTCTGTTACTTTTTACACTCTCTCTTTCTCCCTTCCTTGTTTCACCCTTTATTGAATTTACTTTGAAGTCAGTGTTTTGCTCAGTGTTTTTCTAATGACCTGTTCAAGTCTGCAGCACTGCACAACCTGGAATCAGTTTAGCCTTTGAGCTTTTCAAGTAAAGTTACCAAGCAGAAACCAAAAACAAATCATTATTTGTCTTATTACATCATCTAATAAATAAGGACTAACGTAGGCAAATCTGCCTCTGCAATTATTGGAGTCCCTTCTGCAAAGGATTATTATCAATCCTACTGCTTTGCACTATTTCTGTCACCATTCAGAAATAATTTGAGTGCAAATATTTGCAAACTACTGTGACAATTTTTCCCTCTGTAACGTATTGATTTGGTTGAAAAAAGAAATGCTACAAAATTGCACTGAAGATGTTGAATGATTTAGAAATTTGTTTTTAACAGTTTATTTTAGAGTACTTGGCTTTAAGGAACAATTGTGCATCATTTAAATCTGTCCTGACCATTTGTTGGTGGAAACAGAACACAGACGTGGAAATAATTTATGAGTGTTAAATGTCAAAAGGCCAGAGGGGCAGTGAAGTAAGGCAAGGGGAGAGGTGACTGAATTCATCTGGGGACTATCAGGGGAGTGCGGGTCAAGGTTTGGACCTGACAGGTGTGCATTAAAGACAGGATGGGCACTGACTGGCCGCCCCATTGTGGTTGAGTCTGCATGCACGTGAAGAAAAAGAGAGGGAGGGAGAACGAGGCATCATGCATCACCTGTCAGACACCCAACCAGTAAGGTCGAGACATGGGACTGGAGACACTGGCATAAATGATTACCCAAATTGCCTCTGCAGAGCTTGAGACATGCATTTTTCATCCTCAGGGTCGAGGGTTTGAAAAATAAATGTCAGCCCTCTCCCTGCTGCTTGCTAAGACCACTAACCTGCCAGGCCTAATCATACATCCGACTGTATTCACACACCTTCCAACTCCCAAATGTGAGAAGCTCGAAGGTCGAGATGGAAGGCATTGGAAATAAGGCAAATGAACAGATAGTTTCACAAGTTTAACATATGAAGCCAAAGTTCTGTTTTAAAGTTGCTTTAAAGGAAACAAGAAATGGTTTAACTCAAAATAAATAATAAAAAGATTTTGCTTTAGCACTACGTAGTTTAGACTTGGAAACAAAAACTCGCTAGAGTGTTGGTGCTTTATCAGGAGTTGCACTGTTGACCAGAGCTTTATTGTTTACCTTAAACTATCAGTAAATTGAACCACATGTAATCTAAAGGCCTGGATGGACAGCCACTTTGGGATTCATTAAAAAAGTTTCAGCTCTGGAAGTTTGTTGACTTCTAACCGACTGGTAGAATCCCAGAAGGGTCACACCCACCTTGAGAATTGTTACAGTCACATGCACATGCGTCTCAATGACCCACTCAACTATTGATGTCCCAGACATATCCAGGATAAAACATGGCCTGCACTAAGAAACAGCAACAAAACAAGATATGTGGTTTGTGTTGAACACTCAGTCCATTGCAGCAAGTAGTCCACAGACTTCAATACAAAAAAGACTGGACAACTACTTCATAATGCCCAGTGCAGGAGAGCCAGCCTCTAGGATCAAGACTCAGCAATCCATCTAAGAGATACTACACTGGAGATAGTAGTAATATACAGTTCACTTCACAGACAGGGGAGACAGATGGTGTGAAAGAGGAGTGGTCTAACAAGATCTGTGAGCTTACCGTTTGACTTGTGATAACTTTTAGGATGAGGAAAGTAGCCCTGTATGTTAGATTGAAAGACAAACTACAAGCAAGACAGATGGCTTAGAAGATCGTTTTTGCATGCATTCCTTACATCCCCAACACAGATTTTAGCATTATTACTATTATTTTGAAGCCATTTGTATCTGGTTTATATGAAGCTAGCGCAATGTCTGGTGAAGCCGTTCTCGCTGTGTTAACCAAAACATACCCTCAATGCATTGTGTTGAAATGAGCTCACTTCAAAACCTTATAGAGTTGTTTTAGTACTTGTAATTTTTTAGGAGATTTGCTAAAATGTGGCTATTCAGAGTCCTCTGCTTTAAAATCAAGGTGTGCTTTGGCTTTTATAATCCAAACACTCAACTATTTTTGTAATAGTGGCAGGACAGAATTGGTACCACTGACATCTGTCAGATTCCAATTAGAAAATTATTCCAGTATTAATTTTGTAGATTTCAGTTAGCTCAAAAATAATAAACTATACATAGTTAAACATTGTCAGAACTATGGATAGCTCAAAATAAAAAAAAATTATACATAGTTATACATTGTCAGAACCATTGATGCTCAAAATAAAAAAGTTTACACAGTTGTGCATTGTCAGGAACATGGACAGCTCAAAAATAATTAAGTTTACATAGCTATACACTGTCAGGACTGCTGATGCTCAAAGAATACAGTTTACACAGTTTTACATTGTCAGGACTAAGTAAAGCTCAAAAATAATACATTTCACATAGTCATACATTGTCAGGACCATGGATAGCTCAAAAGAATGAGCTTTACATAATTGTGCATTGTCAGGACCATGGATAGCTCTAAAATAATAAACTTTACATAGTCGTACATTGTCGGGGCCATGGATAGCTCATATTAATAACATATACAAAGTTATTCATTGTCAGCACTAAGTAAAGCTAAAAAATAATAAAGTTTACATAGTTATACATTGTCATAAC